GATAGATAGATAGATAGACAGATAGACAGATAGATAGACAGATAGAGATAGATAGATAGATAGATAGATAGATAGATAGATAGAGAGAGAGAGAGAGAGAGAGAGAGAGAGAGAAAGAAAGAAAGAGAGAGACTGAGTGGGAGGAAGGGAGAGAATGATCAGATATATAGATAGAGAGACTGAACGAGCAATATTGCGATAACAAAAGAAAAGATAGATATGCAAAGAAGAGAGAGAGAGGGGGAGAGATTTAAGGAAAGCACATAGTCAGAAGATTGAATAGATAGATCAAAAATATATATAGATAGATAGATAGAGGGAGGTAGAGAGAAAGAGAGAGAGAGAGAGAGAAAGAGTGAGAGAGAAAGAAGAGAGAGAGACATAGAGACAGTCAGACAGAGAGAGAAAGCGTGAAATGAAAGAGAGAGAAGAGAGAGAGAGAGAGAAAGAGAGACTGAACTAGCAATATTGTGACAAAAGAAAAAAGGTAGAAATATATAGATAGATATGGAGATAGATAGGTAGATAGACAGATGGATAGATAGATATATAGATAGAGATAGAGAGAGGGAGAATGTGGATGAGAGAGAGAGTGAGAGAGAGAGAGAGAGAGAGAGAGAGAGAGAGAGAGAGAGAGAGAAAGAGAGAGAAAGCGAGAGAGGAGATATAGAGAAAGTGGGTAGATCAGAGTATAAAAAGAAAGATATTGCAATGGCGAAAGAGCAGAGAAAGAGAAATAAAATAGTTCGATATTTAGATATAGATAGATAGATAGATATAGATAGGTAGATAGAGAGGTTAGAGGAGTAAAGAGATAGTTTGAAAGAGAAGGAAAAATAGATAAGATATAGAGGGAGAAACCTCAGAATGTGTATGAATTGGAAGGAAACATTGGAAATTGGAACAGAGTAATACGTATTACGTCAGTATAAGAAAACAAGGAAAATCATAAAATGAGACAGAAAGCGGAAGAGAAAGAGAGATAGTTAGAGAGAGAGAGAGAGAGAGGAGAGAGAGAGAGAGAGAGTGAGTGAGAAACAGAGTAGATTTAGACGGTAGACAGCGACCGGTCATTAATCTGTACGATTGTAGGGAGTGAAACAGAATTCATAGGAAAGAGTATAGAGAAAGGGGGAGAGAAAGAGAGAATGATCAGATTCATAGATAGAGAGGCTGAACGAGCAATATTGCGATAGCAAATAAAAAGATATATATATAGAGANTATATATATATATATATAGAGAGAGAGAGAGAGAGAGAGAGAGAGAGAGAGACAGAGACAGACGGAGATAGATAGATATATAGAGACAGAGATAGATAGATAGATAGAAAGAGAAAGGGAGAGAGAGAGAGACTGAGTGGGAGAAAGAGAGAGAATGATCAGATTCATAGATAGAGAGGCTGAACGAGCAATATTGCGATAGCAAATAAAAAGATAGATATATAGAGACAGAGATAGATAGATAAATAAAGATTGATAGATAGATAGAGAGAGAAAGGGAGAGAGAGAGAGAGATTGAGTGGGAGAATAATGAATCTGTACGATTGTGGGGAGTGAAACAGAATTCATAGGAAAGAGAATATTGAAGATAAATACCTTAATAAGAGCTGAGTAGTGAGCAAGCGACAGAAATACGTAGATTGATAAATAGATATTTGTATACATACACATTTGTATAGTTTTATAGATAGGTAGGTCGGGATAGTGACAGAGAAAAATCGATAGGCGGAAAAATGCTTAGATAAAGGAGAGAAAGCATGGGTTGATAGAGAAAGATTAAGAGAGTCAGTATAAACTATAGAGAAAAAAGAGGAATGCAATAACACATGAAAATAAAAGAAAAAACCAGAGAGAGAGAGATAGAGTGAGAGAGAGAGAAAGAGAGAGTGAGAGAGAGAGAGCGAAAGAGAGAGAGCGAGAGAGAGAGAGAGATAGAGAGAGAGAATAGGAATAAATGAAAAGCAGCCTCACACGATTGTAGGATTTATTAATTCGATAATTTGAATACTACGCATGTAAGTTTAAGTAATCCTCTGATAATATAAGGTTTTGTGGAAAAAAATGGACAAGATGAAGATGGTACAATGAAATCAAAGAAATAAAGCATAGGAAGAGAGATTATGCTAAACAGATTACAGAAGAAAGTGATTTGACAGAGGTTCGTAAGTAGTCATAAAAATAAATAGGTAAAATTAATAAATTACAATACATTATCATGCAAAATAGAAGAAGAAGAAGACAAAAAACATTAGATTTTATATAGAAAAATAACAAATATGAATTATAAAATTCAAGGTGTACATAATATTTGTAATTTGTAAGTACAAATTTAAAAAACTGAAGTACTTTAAAAAAAGAACAAAAAAATAAAGATGATTGATTGGTACATGGAAGATATTGATAGAAGGGATGAATGTTATTTAAAACATTACATAAAAGACTAAGAAAGGAAGAAATAAGAGTTAAAAGAAATAGTAGTAGTAGTGATACAGAATCAGAAAGAAGAAAAAAGAAAAAAAGGAAGAAAACACTCAAACATTATTTTACAATATATTTACTTAGAACTTGAACTATAAAAAGTGAGACTATTCTAAAGTATCATTAAACATAACAATATGCCAAAAGAAATCGAAGTAAAAAAGTTGTATTATATATTAGTAATGCCGTTTTGTAATACTGCAAAGAAATATGTATCAAAGGAATGTATGAAGTAAAGCAGAAACGAAGTATTATTAAATGAGTATCTAGAAAAGGTAGAAATTGGATGAAAAAGAAAAACGATCGAAAATTGAACAATAACGGTCCCTTGAAAGTTTATTCGTGCTTAAGATAAAAGAAAATTGAAATAAAAACAGACAAGAAATCAGTATGAAAATCGAAAAGTTTTATAATTTGTATTATGGAATAAAATAGAAATAGAAAACAGGTAGGAAATGGAAAAATTAATTAATAAGTTGACAACATATGTTCACGATGCAGAGTTGGACTAGCTAAAAGAAACTTTTAATGATTAAATAATTATGTTGAAAAGATAAAAAGAAAATAATCAATTAACGAGAAAAGTGACATTAACGAAGAAACAAAAGTAATAAGTTACACAAATTAAACATAATTCAACAAACAACCATATAACCATTTAACAATCACATGAAGAAAAACATAACGGTACATTTTGTTAGAGTTGTAGAAAAAGAAATGAAAACCTGAAAGATAGAGTCAAAAATAAAAGTAGAGATGCATACATAAAACAAAAAGTTGTGAAAAATTAAAACTAAAAAGATAGGAGTTTAGCAAATAGAACAAAATAAAAGTACAATTATTAAAAAAAAAAGCGAAAACAGTTAGTTGGAAAGGTTTTAAGAATATTAGAATGAAACAATAATAAAAGAATGTCTTAAAAGACAGTTTTTATTTATGAGAAATATAGGAAGGTTTTAGCAACATTTCAATGCAAAAGCAGACAAGAATGCAAAAAGTTAATACAGATAATAGGAACAACAAGAAAGAAGAAGAATCACTGATCAATTGTTGAGATCATTACAACAAAAATTTAACGATAAGAAGGATGTTAATCAAATAAATACAACATGCTCACATTAGGAAAAACAAGTAAATATAATAGTAGTAAGAACAAGAAGTTAATGTTAACATCACAGGTACATAATAGCATTATTTTGAACCTTTTTCCAATTTGAGAACTATCATTTATGAGTTTCGTAGATAAGTAAAGAAAAGAGAAGGGTACGCGGAAGAATGACGGATTTGTGGATAGAGAGAAAGATAAAAAGAAAGAAAGTAAGAAAGAAAAAGTCGCGAAAGAAATAACGCATAGAAGATTATTTCGTCGTAGATAAATCGTAGAATTCCGTGGATGTCGACGATGTCTAATCGCGAGATAGTTGCGGACTAACTTGTGAAGAAGATTATTTGTAAATAGATAGAAAATATAAGAAAAAAAGAATAGAAATAGAGGAAAATATGAAAAAAAGTAAAACTCAAAAATGATTTTCTCAAATTATAAAAATTATAAATTTTACAAGACGGTTGGTTATGTCAACAGTTAAAAAACAAAATAAATATAACAACTGTAATATAGTATATAACATCGAGCAAAAAGTATTTTTATATCTATAATAAAAAAATTGTGATGGCATTAATACACAAAACAGATAAGCAAATGAAAATTTTAACAGTGTTATCATTTGGAAACATGCAAGTGAAAACATTTCTTCAATGTTAATTTTAAAAAAAATTAAAACTACTTTTATGATACCTAAACATGCTTAAATCATATTGCAATTAAAAGCAATTCAGTATAACTAAGAAATAAAACTAACAACCTAGCACGCGATTATTTCTAAACTGTGCACTAGCCCAATAACACGAAGCCAAACGCTTTTGCGTGATGTGAACTTATGTTGAAGTCTACAGTAAACTGTGCAGTGAACAAAGCTGCTTTTACGTATTAATATCCTGTTATACATCACGGCTGTTTATTTATAATCCATGCGTGAGACACAATACAATTTAGTAAAATATTATAAAACGAAATCCTTTTGGCAAAGTATAGTTTTAACATGCTTAAAAATCGTTTGTACAACGTTGATATAGATCTTCAAGGACATGCCAAGTGATATAAAAGTTTAACAAAGATGGATGAAGAGAGAAAGAAAAAAGAGAGAACATGCTTATTAACTTAAATCGAAAGGTTTTATGGTAGAAAGAGTATATAGTTTTCATGCTATGAAAGGAAAACGAAAAGTTAGTTTAAAAGTGGAAGGGCAGCCAAAGTGGGACATCTGTCCAATGGAAAACTGTGCTCGAAAGGTGGCGCTTGTTTTAAGCGGTAAAACGTGGAAGGGTCGGTCGGTGGTGAGTGATGAGGACGGGGAAAAACGTCGGCCATCCTGTAACCGGAAGTGGATATCGAACGGTTCGACTAGACCTTCGGTACAGTTATGGCCGGGGTTCGTCATTATTGTATTTCCATTGACTTACTGGGGAGGGTATTTGGAGGTGGTTATTTCTTGGCAATTCTGAAAGCTGTGAAGGTGGTGGAGGGTGCGGCTCGATCGTTGTCTGTCGCGATGTTCACCCTCCTGTCCGCGAGCCAAACTCCTGTCTGATCGCCGACTTCCAGCTCCAGGAGGATCTGGTTGGACCCGCCGCCGCTCTTTTCACCTCCTGCAGATGCGACCTCCGTCCAGGTCGAGCCCTTGCCGGCTCCCCTCTTCTTCAGAATGATCCTAAAACATGTGACCATCTTATTGCCGAGATAATTTTATAAACTATATTTTTTATGGTAAAAAACTGAAAAACTGAAACATGCGACCATCTTATTCCTGAGATAATTTTTTTAAACTATTATAAAACTATGTTATAACTGCCCAAATTATTGGGTTGAGATAGGAAGTTGGATTCCGAGTGGATCGAAGTCACGATAGCTCAAGTGGTAGAGAAAACGCAGCGGCATATTTAGCCGAAGAAGGACGTGGGTTCGAATCCCCTCGTGACGCTGATTTTTTATCTCAGCCAATACCTTACATAAAGATTAATTAATTGAATGATGTTATTTGGTCAATAGGACCACGAAATCTAATGTATTTATAAACTATATTTTTTATGGTAACAAACTGAAACATGACAATTTTATTTCCGAGATAATTTTATAAACTATATTTTTTATGGTAAAAACTGAAACATATCCATCTTATTGCCGAGATAATTTTATAAACTAATTTTTTACGGGAAAAACTGAAACATGCGACCATCTTATTTCCGAGATAATTTATAAACTATATTTTTTATGGTAAAAAACTGAATAAACTGAAACTTGCGACCATCTTATTGCTGAGATAATTTTATAAACTATATTTTTATGGTAAAAAAATGAAACATACGACCATCTTATTTCCAAGATAATTTTATAACTATATTTTTTATGGTAAAAAACTGAATAAACTGAAACATGCGACCATCTTATTGTTGAGATAATTTTATAAACTAAAATTTTTATGGTTAAAAATTGAAACGTACGACCATCTTATTTCCGAGATCATTTTATAAACTACATTTTTTATGGTAAAAAACTCCTAGAAGATATCTTTTGTGGATTATTTAAGAAACGTCTGCAGTATTTAAAACTGATGTTGGGGAAAAAACGCCAATTAACTGTCCAATTAATGTTTTTTTCTTTTTTTGAGGGCCGCGTAATCGAGTGGTTAGCTTGTCAGACTTTCCCTCATAGACCTCGCGGTTGTGGGTTCGATCCCACCGTAGCCCCTCGAAATTTCCTACACGCTTCCCCTCCCCCTAAAAACATATAAATCAATCAATATCGGAGGTTCCCTGCCTAATATGTAATGCCATATGACAAACGGAATGTTATTCTGTTTTTTCTGTCTTACACTTCATCAATAGATGATTAAGGTCGGTGGCCGCAACGGTTTAGGCGTTGACACGGCGTTCATCACTGTAAGGTAAAGGTCCCGGGTTCGAATCCAGCGGCCCTGCATTCGAACACGACATACTTACAAATGGGCTTTTTTTCAAAAACACCAGCATCCTGAGAGATTATATGACCTTTGCTGTTGCGAACCCTCGAAAAAAAATTATCCCCATGTCATTTATCATATTCGTTTATCCGTGAATTGCAAGGGAAACAACTGAAGATGACTATGTTTCTAGTTTAGCAAAGACATGTGTTTTGTCATGTTCCGCGTGTATCAGAAATTTTCCTTTTCACTCTCTCTTCCTCGGCACTTTCTCGAGTATTTTTTTGTCTAGTTTCGTCCAGATGTCGAACAGGATGGTTTTCACTTCGGCCCCCGACAGCAACCTTTTATCAAAGCCATCTAGTCTGAGGAGAAAAAGGAACTTTCTTCCTCCGCGGCTAAATAAAACGGTGCCACTTTCCCCTCCGGCTAATGGGTCAGGTCGATACGATACGACTTTCGTCCTAAAGCTAGAATTATAAAGGAAAATTAAGGGTGCTGTCAGCGCGTTAAAAGTTAGCAGGATCGATGCGAAACTTTAACCTTAGAAAATAAATAAATAACGAGCTTAAGTAGGTCAATTCCATGCCGATAGGCGATTAATACTTTACACTACGAATATTTGTTACTTAGTACTCCTACATAAAACATTTCGTAAACATTGAATTTTACTGTAATGGTAGTTCTTTCTAACCCTAAAAAGCCAGTCGATTAGTCAAATTATTGTAGAAGATAGCTTTTGCAGATTGTTTTTAAACTTGTGGTAATATTTATAAATTATCAGGAAACAAAGTAGTTAACTAATCGAAGAAAAGGAAGAAACAGCCAACCATATCATCTTTGAATACGGAAAGCATTTTGGGTAACGAGTAGGCAGACGCATCGGTCCGAGGACGATCTTCAAGTCCATATATTGGCCATGATCCTATTCTTGGGAAAACAAAAACACAAATATAATCTTTTATCTCAGAATGACTCCAAAAACGAAAAAAGGGAAAGTGGATAAAATGTAGAGGGACTAGACATAGTAAGATTATGCTAGAATAACCCTAACCGATATTGAGAAACTCTCTAATACAACAAGAGAAGTGTTAGGACTATTTACTATGTAGTCAATGGTATCTGAGAAAATATCAGCAGCCATAGACAATCTTAAAAGAGATTACACTGAAAAAAAATGTTCATAAGATGGGATAGCCAGTAAGTTGTGAAAGAATTAGGATATAGAAAAATAACATCCAAATATCTAAAACTAATATATTAGGTACAAAGAATAGTTTTGTTGTTTTATCTCTGAACTTATTCTTGGGATAAAAGAACAAAAACAGAATCCTCCAACACAGAATGAATAAAAGCAAAAGGATAAATGGATAAACTATAGAGGTACGAGACACAGTAAACCTACACTAAAGCATAGCTGCTAGTTAGAGATCGCTGGGATAAAAGAACAAAAACAGAATCCTCCAACACAGAATGAATAAAAGCAAAAGGATAAATGGATAAACTCTAGAGGTACGAGACACAGTAAACCTACACTAAAGCATAGCTGCTAGTTAGAGATCGCTGGGATAAAAGAACAAAAACAGAATCCTCCAACACAGAATGAATAAAAGCAAAATGATAAATGGATAAACTGTAGAGGTACGAGACACAGTAAACCTATACTAAAGCATAGCTGCTAGTTAGAGATCGCTAACCTCGGAGGAGCGACAGGACTATATACGGGTCATTGGAATCTTAGAAAACATCAACCCAACATGGACATATTCAATGATCCATAAGATGAGAAAACAGCCAACCTATCATATTCGCATGAGAAGCAACCGCTTAATGGAGACATAACCAAGGAAACAATGAAAGCAATTACAGCAACCTCAGTCGATGACCTAGTATTCCTTAAAAAAAGGATCGAATCGACAGACTAAGGAACTAGGAAAGTACAATAAACACGACTTTCTAATATCATATTCATCATCATCATCAAAGGATATTACCGATATCATCGTTGAATACGAAGTAACTATTCAATAGAGACATATCCATGCAAACTAAGAAAACCCAGGGAAAAGAATTGTACGATAGTCATTGGCCTAATACTTGAAGGATCGAGTCGTTTGACTGATTTAACGAATTAGGAAAATGCAATAAACTAGAAGGCTGTACTGCTTGGGCAACTACAACCCTCACTTCCTAGTATCCATCATCATCATCATTAACAGCACATAAAAATATTGGTTTATGTTAACTACGACTATACTAATTGCAGAACAATATGTTCTTAACTAAGGAACCAGGAAAGTACAATAAACCAGAAGACTGCAGCGCTTGGGAAACAAAAATTCCCACTTCATACTATCCATCATCGTCATTAACAACATATTGGTTTATGTTAACAACGACTACCCTAATCGTAAGACGATATATTTCAAACCAAATAAGGAACTACGAAAGTCCAATGCACCAGTGCTTGGGGAAAAACCAATCCTAGTCTCCTTTCATCATCATCATAAACCGCAGCATCTTAAAGGGTTATCATTAAGGTTGGATTTAATAAATCATTTTATTTGTGTTCTAATCCTAAAAGTGAGAGACACGATCCATCTTTCAACAAAGTTTTCCGTGCACAACGATTAGCCAGTTGACATGGTTTTTATGAAATGAAGTTTATTAATTATTCCCATTTTGAGCACCTGAAATAAATGTTATCATAATGTATTTTACACTGAAAAATTAACGCTTTTTTATAAGGAATTATTTGGATTAGATGGTCTTTTCGGGTTGGCTTTGTGTAGAACCCCGATCGATTTCCATCTCAGAGTTGTATAACGAAACGAGAAAATGATGTCGCAAAAATTAAAAAAATAAATAAACAAAAAGCCTTCGACCCACAGTAAAAAAATAAAATATAAATTACATAAATGATCTTCTAATTATTCTAAAAGAGTAAACAATCTCAATGCGGTTTAGCCTTTAAAGTAATTTGTTATTAGCGAAAGTAAACAAATATGTAGGACGAGTTCGACAAGAGTGAAACTCACAATTCGATTTCGTCTGGAAAATAACAGGGTGTCAAATCGGTCGGTGCGAAAGTAGAACCGGTTCGAGAAAGTAAACGATATCCGCCATGTTAAGTCCCGCTTCTGAAGCTGGTCTGAAAGGTTAATTATTTTCTTTTTTAAAATCGAGCCATTATTCGTTCTAAAAATTCAAAGTGTTATTCTCGCTCCTTTTATGATCCAGGCTAAATGTCAAATTTTGACGACATGGTGTTTGCTCTAACACTAATTGTTGTGCTTCGAACAATTGAAGAGTCACGAACAGATCTGCTCTTAAGTCAAAACACCGCGCAATAATTCGATCCATATTGGTCGATGTTTTAGCACAATAGACATTTTATTCACTAGTTCATTTGTTTAATAATTTGCACAATAGTATTGTCAAGTGTTCTGAAACACTCGTCCGCCTCGCGTATGACAGGAATTACTTTGGTAAGTCACTTACTGGGTCCGTTTGTACTCGCTTTAATGTTTCTCAAGTGCGATTTGGTTTTGCCACATTTTCAGCTAGGACCTAGTTTTTTTTAACAGTTCAATTTACATCCTGTAGCGATTTAATCCACCTCACATTGAACAAAATCGTAACAGGTCATGGCAGTCTATGAAGACTCTGGCTTGCGGGGCATCCAATAATTTTATTTAAACAAACTATTTCGTAAAATATAAAATTGTCAAAGTTTATGAATTTCACACAAGATCTTGCATTTAGGGTTGATGATGGGTGTTGGTTTGAGAGTTAATAAAGTCATCGTGAACCGGCGTCTTCACTAGCAAATTTATTGAATTACTCAAACGCCTTTTCGCATTTTGCCATCTTCAGTGAGGAACTAACTTAAGCGTTTGACTAGATTATCCATAAAAATGGATAAGTCCAAAGCAAATTTTTTTCAAGACCTTTTGCGATTTTAAGGCGGGTCCAGACGGGTGTAACGTGTAATGCAAGATTACGAGTAATTTAGAGTGAACAGTGTAGACGGGAAACGAACTCAACGCGAATCATGTAACGCGAATCTTGAAGAGGGGGCTGTTCCACTCAGTTGCTACGAACATGGTATAAACCAATAAGTTCAAGCGACTGTTCGTCACTCCACATCATGAACGTCCACACTACACAACTGCCACGAACGCCGTCCAAACGAGAACTGCGAGCGCCTTTGTGTTCGCACAAAAAACCGACACCCCGATGGATCCGGTCGAACGGTTGGGCGAGCGTTACATGTAATGCTCGTAGTAGCGTCCACACAAAGAATTCGCCTTGCATTACGCGTTACGTTACGTGTTACATTACACTCGTCTGGACCCGGCTTTAAAGTTTAGAACTTAGGCGCAAATCGTGTTGAACCAGCGCTGTGTTACTACTTCGTCTTCCGCGGGTTTTTTGGATTACGCCAACTCGTAACTCATTTCCTCGCTGAAGATGGCGCAATGCCGATAGGCGTTTAAGTAATTCAACAAAACAGGCCAGCGAAGACGCGCAGTATTTATGTTATTATTTTCTTCCAAAATGTTGAAAAGGTTGAAATGGATTTAGTTTAAAAAAGCAGATAGGCCATTTTGGTAAGAATCGTAACATATTATTTTATATTATTTTGTTTCTTACTGAAAACGGTGTTAAACCATCACACCTTTGAGTAGCTTTAAAACTCGCAAGTATCGACGGACCGAGTGCCGGTCCAAACACCCACTCAGAAAGTATATTACTTTAGAATTTGTAATCAAACCGTCTGCTTTGAAAGGGCCTTTAATAAAATTTAGTTTTCACTTTAACAATTTTGACAGATGCGTTAAGGTGGATTGGATAGGTCGTTTATCCGATCCGCCCGTCCATCTCAGTCGGAGATGAGGTCATTACCTTTAGCCGTAAAAACTCGTTTTAGTGAAAGACGACAATCTACCTCGTGTTGGGAGTATTGCTGTAGGCGGCAAAGGCTATGTGGTAGATCCCGGGGCAATGGACTGTAAACTCTCCCGTCTCCCTGCTGAATCCGACGCCCCTGTCGACGAGCGTCGTCCTGTAGCCGATCAGCCCGGTGTCGTGTACTTGGTGGGTTCCAACCCCGCTGAAGCCCACGGCACCCGAACAGTCGGCCGCTGTCGCCAGCTTCTGCTGTCCATGGATTCGAGGCGCCTCCGGGTCAGCTGCGAGGATGTGTCCTACGACTGCAAGCAGCACTAACGCCATTTGCATTCTAGAACAAAAAAAAAATTCGTTTACATCTTTTTGTAGGTAAAAAGATTATGATGAAAATCAAAAGATTGAACCTCGGTGAAAGGGTTTGTCAAATAGGACTTGCGACACTTGGAAAGTCTCTAGTCTCAACAGATGGTGTAATGATTCATTCTTTTATCGGATTTTATGCTCCTGCCTTCTTACTGTTTTTTTTCCAAATCTTTATCGCCTTGGCACGGCATTTTAAAGAAATATCAAACTATCTCGACAATTAAGAGACAATGGGGGATTTTATGAAAAGCACAGGGTCTTTTGAAAAAACTCGAAATTACGCAAGATTTTTTTTGTGAAAAATCTGTTAACAGATGTATTTTTTATGCAAAACTGTAAGGAAAAAAGTGTCCTTGGCGCAGATGACCATGATTACAATAGAATCATTGTGTTACGGTACAGTTGTGCAACGATTGTCATGTAATGGGCGCCAATTTGACGTTTTACCATACAAACTCATCTTAACTTTAATAAATCAATTACACACACCAAAATACAAAAGTTAAAATCATAAGACAAATTTTGATGTATTTGCGAATGGTTATTACTTTGTAACTGTGAGGCTGATGTAATTAAATTACGACCGTGCAATACAAAGGCTTATTGCGGAAGGGGATATTGTTGTCATGAGCACGAATTGAGCAATGGAAAAATAGTAGTTGGCCAATGCGGGACCGTACTATGATGAAAATACCACTTGAAAAGAAAAAGTAAACATTTCGAATATGTTCTTTCGAAGAGGGCAAGTAGTCGGTATTTAGCTTTAGCATGGTCAAATTATTAATGTAAACTATTCTGATTCTGCTTTAAAGTGGAACTTTATTCGTCTTACTAGATATAGACAGACAACCGATAATTTTCCGTTGTATGGGAGTTCCGGAAGAATCGGTATTCAGCCTACAGCAATGTAACTCCACCTTCCACCCTTACACATTTAGGTAGAAAAGTTGGCCAACAGACTCCTGAGATAAAAGGAATTAAAGCCAGATTTAAGGAGAAACCACCACAAAATTCTGCGAATCGAAATAAATTAAATGGTTCTAACAGTATCTGACAAAATGAGAGAAAAACTCAACGATTATTCAGAAATCGTGAGATGCGATCTGGTGTAATAAAAACATTTTCTTTATCGAGCCAACGTTTCGATCTTTATTGAGAACATCTTCACCAGACCACATCTCACGATTTTTGAATAATCTTTATAAAAATAGTTCCTACTCACAGTTAGTTATTTTCAACAATCTGGATTTCAAACTTATAGCTCATCATCAGGTTGAAGGAATTTATAAGCAGGTCTCTTGTAATCTTGGTAAAAATTTGTTATAATATTCATGTCGAGAGAAATGGTTGTAAATTCGTTTAACCTGATGATAAGTTATAACCTTGAAATCCGGATCGTTGAAAATAATTAACTGTAAGATCTATTAAATTCGCTAGTTTCGTGGTCCGCTTGACCAATTAATATCTTACAATTAATTAAGGGTTTCAGTTGAGATAAAAAAGTCAATGACACAAGTTGGCTAACAGACTCTTGAGATAAAAGGAATTAAAGCTAGATCTAAGGAGAAACCAACACAAAATTCTGCGAATCAAAATAAATTAAATGGTTCTAACAGTATCTGACAAAATGAGAGAAAAACTCAACGATTATTCGGAAATCGTGAGATGCGGTGTGGTGTGATGTAGGTTTCAGACAAACATTTTCTTTATCGTTCCAACGTTTCGATCTTTATTGAGATCTTCTTCAGGGCCTGGGATTTACAAATATTGTTTAAATTTAACAAAAACACATTTCCACATCCTACATGGTTTTGTTAAATTTAAACAATATTTGTAAATCCCAGGCCCTGAAGAAGATCTCAATAAAGATCGAAACGTTGGCACGGTAAAGAAAATGTTTTTCTGAAACCTACATCACACCAGACCGCATCTCACGATTTTTGAATAATCATCGACAAACGGTCACTAATCACAGAAAAACTCAACTTTGATCATTCCGAGTGGCCATAGTTAAGTTAGTTGGAAGAACGGTAGCCCAAAGTTTCACGAAAGGGCCATAATATAGTACACAGATGGGTCGAAGATGGAACAAGGTGCAGGAGTAAAAGGGCCGAACTATACCATAACAAACTCCCTTGGACTAACCTCAACAATTTTCCAAGCTGAGGTCCATTAAATATAAATCTATGCACAGGTGTTATAGAAAAATACACCTTCATAGATTTACTGTTAGACAGACAGGAAGGTATAAAGGCACTAAATGCGTATGTTTTCATCTCCAAACATATCTGGGAGTGTCTAAATTGCCTAATGACTCACATGCTAAAAGATTTATAAATCTCTTAAAAAGGAAGGCGAAGGAAATCCTCTCTCTCTTTCTCAGTAGGCAGGATTTGAGAAAAATTATAGGCGACCACTGCCCTCCTAACAACCACATAAACAAGATGGGCAAAGGAGAAACGGAAACGTGCCGATTATGCCAGGAGGACCAGATGCATTAGCGCATATTCTTTGTAGCCACGGTAGGGCGGTTTTCATACCAAAAGAACGAGGAAAGCGCTTAGTATTATAGGAAAAAGTGCGCTTGCCAAGGTTGTTACAATTTATTGGCGTTCCATAATAGATCTACATAGGTCGCAGTGAGGAAAAACTTTTAAAATCCTTATTAAACCCTCAACCTAAAAAAAGTAAGTTAAATACAACCAACAAATTTCTGACTGTAAAAATAACCATGGCGGTAAATATAATTCATTTGATAAGCATACGCTTGTCGGTTTTTGCTGATGGCTACAGCACATCGGTTTATGAAAAAACGCTAGTAAATAAGTATACTGCAAACGCAAAACTTAACTTACGGCGTTAAAATAGGCCCCAAATATTTAATTAAATAAAATAGACTGCTCAATGTGTAAACCTGATTTATATTCTTAAACGTGTATTGTAAATGACGTTTTGTAAATTTAGAAGTGAAAATAACGTACAAGGACATAAAACTAGATCTCAAAATAAACTTGTCACCAAGGAAAACAATCTGAAAGCCACACAATAGCACAAAATACTGGATGGTGAAATATAATAATGACTCCTTCTCTCTCTCTCTCTCTCTCTCTCTCTCTCTCTCTCTCTCTCCCTCTCTTTCTCTCTCTCTCTCTCTTTGTCACTCTGTCTCACACATTCCAACACGTCCTAATAACACAGTCAATCATTGACATTTTCTTTTTTAAGAAAGCTTTTAAGCTGGTTTGTACAATCCTAGCTTGATAATCCTCATCTAGAAATACGGCAGTCAAATGATTTCGTTTTGGCTCAACAAAGCGGTTGGCCCGTTTTGATTCAATTTGTCTAATGACAATGCAAACAAGTACAAGATGAACACATGGTTAACTTGAGGAACATGAGGGGCGACCTTAAGACCCCCCACAATTGGTCAGGTTGACTCATTGCTTCTTTGGCTATCGTTCAGGTCGGAGCTGGCCTGAGACCAAAATCACAAAGATGACTCGTCGTAACCGACAAAAGACAAATCGAGAAATATCGCATGGTCTTTAACCTCGCCCGCATGGTAAAGGATCGAAAAACCATATAAACACAAAGGGAAATATAATATAATAATGATATATGAAATGACTCCCCCCTCTCTCTCATTCTCTCGCTTCTTCTTTTTCTCACTATCTATCTTACAATCTATCTGTCTATATATCCATCTATAATTCAATCGTAATCTCTCTCTTTCTCTCTCTCTCTCCCCCTCCCCCTTTATCGCTCTCTCACTTCTTCTCCTCTCTCTTTCTATTACTACCTTTTTATCTCTCTTTATTTCAATCTAAATTTCTCTCTCTCTCTCTCTCTCTCTCTCTCTCACTCACTATCTATCTATGTTTCAATCTATCTGTCTATATATCCATCTATATTTCAACCCCAATCTCTCCCTTTCTCTCTCCCTCCCTTCCCCTTTATCACTCTACTTCACTTCCTCTCCTTTATCTTTCTATTACTACTTCTTTATCTCTCTTTATCTCATTCTCTCTCTCTTTGTCTTTCTCTCTCTCTCCCTGTATCTCTCTCACTATCTATCTCTCTCTCTCATTCTCGCTCTCTCCCTCTCCCCTCAATTTCACCTCTCTCTCTCTCTGTCTCTCTCTCACACTGTTTCTCTCTCACTATCTATCTGGCTATATATCCAGCTAAATTTCAAGCGCAATGTTTATCTTTCTCTCTCCCACCCTCCCTCTCACTCACTTTCTCTCTCTACCTTTCTTTCACTCTCTCTCTCTCTCTCTCTCTCACTTCCACTTCTCTCCTCTCTCTTTCTCTTACTTGTTTTTCTCTCTTTATTTTAATCTCAATTTCTCTCTCTCTATCCTCTCTTTTTCTCTCAATATTCTCTATCTATCTATTTATTTCTCTCTCTTTTTATCTCTCTGTTTCTTTCACTAAATGACTGTCTATCTTTTTATCTATTTTTGTTTCAATCTGTATATCTTAACATATCCGAAAAATTCATTCTTCTTCAGATTTTATGATTTCCTCTGGTTTTATCTTTTATTATTTTACACGAACCTTTCTAAGAATTTATGGTAAGAATAAGATCGAGGGGTGATAGATAGGTAATTAATTATTATGTTAGTAATTCCCGTGATCTAGTTGAAAATGGTAAAACTAGAAGATAAATTTCGATACAAACCGCGAATTCTCAAGTCTCTGCAAAGTTTCTCTCTCGCGCGTTATTGCTGAATTGTTTATTGTTCAATTGTCGCTGTGGAAAGAATATAATTAAGTTCTGGGCCAGCTTGTTTTCACAGGATCTTATGCCATCTTTGGAAAATAACCAAGTTTCGTTAAAGGCGCTTTAGCCGGGGGGCACTTTCACAATTCCGGTCTTGACCACGGACCTTGCAATCTGTTGGCCCATATTTTTCTTTTTCGTTTCTCCCTTTTCCACCAGCCTCACGTTTCATATCGCAATTT